AGGAGATAAACAGAGGAAAAGCTTAATTGTGGGCAGAGAGGGAAAGGCTTTGCACTTGATATGTATTTGTAGGGTTGGTGCTATTGGCTATGTTTTCGTTAAGCGAGTGCCCTTGTATGTGCTCTCTTATTTAGTCTAAATAGAATTCAAGTCAGGTTTGGCAGTTGATGGCAGTTGTAATCCACATGCTTTCAAATAAAATGTCACTTGTCCCTTTTTAGTTATGTCAGCAGAGGTTTTTTTTTTTTTTTTTTAACTTGCCTGACTTTTGTCCTGCCTCTTCTGTGTCATGAGTGTGAGATGTGTGACCTTGATAACAATGTCCATGTTCAAATTAGCGAAAATCTCACGAGAGGCAGGAGGCTTGCTTCTAGTTTTTGTGTAAGGCTTGTACCAGTCCTTGAACAATCTTTTCATCTTAAATGTTTATGTCCCCTTTGAGAACCGTTTTGTAAAAAGAAAAAAAAAATTAACTTGGCGTGAGTACTGTTGATTCTTCCCTGTGTTTGAGGGTTTGCTCTTGTACGTGTTACACTTCACAGGGAGAACAAGCTGGGACATAGGCTGGGGAAGCTGGTATTGCTGATATTGTTGCTCATTTGTCAATCGTAGCCTATGTGTGTGTGAATGATTAGAAATATATTGCTTGTGGCAGAGGAGATGGCTGTGCGTTACTATCTGCTGTCTGCCTTTTGGTGCTGTTGATGTATCTGTGGTTTCCAAAACATCCTCCATGTAAGCTGGCGTGCTATTTTAATCGGCTGCTCCCAGAGCCTGAGCCTCCAGCACACACTAGTTAATGCAGCCTTTCCTGTTTGGGCAGCTCTGTCATTCGTATGTCTGTGCGCGGGCGCGCGCTATGCTTAAATTGACAGAAACTGAAAGCATAATGATGACCAGTTCAGTTTTCTTCACGTTACCAAATATTAACTTGCTTCTCCAAGCAGGTTATGTGAAGTATAGGTTAAAGATTACATAGGATAAGGATTAATCTGGAAGAAAGGAATAATTACATATGTATACTCACAAAACTTTCTATAGTAAAAAAAAAAAACTCCAGAAAAACCCCAGATCCACAAAAATGTGCATTTTAATGCTGTTTTTAACTTAGGATTTGGTTAATTGGGGAAAACTTGAGCAGCTGGTTCTGAAGATGGCAGAGGACATAAATTTTCTCTTCCAGTTGATCAGAAATGCAGTGGGCAGGAGTGCTTATCCACATATGTAGATAACACATGTAGAGAAATGCTGCAGAACCCGAACATCCTGCCGTTAAAGTGGCCTCTCTGGGTTGGAGATTTTTTTCCACAGTAATACAGAAGTGGATGGTTCATCTGGAGCCAATCAGTATTTTGTCCTGCAGTTGTGCTGAGCAGATCATGCCGCATGTTATAGAAGCATATGTTTGTTTGTGGGGAGGAACACATACATACAGCCTGCAACTCTGGCCTTTGCAGCAGCAGATGAACTCTGATGCTTTAGAAATAAATCCTAGTCTTTGTACATGGCAGTGTTTGGCCTGCTAACATTGTACTCCGTTGAACTGTAGACTTTCTTTCCCTCCTTGGCTCAGGCTGTAGTTGGCAGCAGGGTATATGTACCGTTGTGGTTTTAGAGCTCAGCTCTGTTTGACGTAAGCAGAACATTTCTTAGTTTCACCACACTTTCTGCTGCTTGGTTTCTAGGAAGCAAGGTGGGATACCTGGAAAAAAAATACTTCAGGTAGTTTTATTTACCAGCATTCTCTCTCTCAGCTTCCGAAGGTTTACCGCTTCCTGTTGTATGCCATAAAATATATTTTCCAGAAGGGGCTGGAGAGAAAGGGGCTGGTGGGGGGGGGAGGGGAACCCTCAGTCCTTGCTAATTATTTTTGATAAGAACAACGGGAATGGCAGAGGATCATATTTCCCAGCAGCAGAGGTTGAGTTGTATTGCAGAGTTGCTGCTTGATGAACACCTCCGTGATGTAACACTGTATTAAATAACTTAGCTATTTTATGTTCTCACTCCATCTTAAATTAGTGATGTTGGTGTTGCTATGTAAAAGAGTAAGAGTTTAATCTCTCATATGAATGAATACCTGGATTAATAATGTGTCTGTTTATTTAAGGAATGTTGCTTATGGTGTATATATAATAGAAAAAGTGGGATCTCTTCAGATTGCTGAGTTTGCATAATAGCTCAGCTGACAAACTAATGCTTGTTGAGATGCTAAAAGGGCCTAGGAGGGTGATGTGAAACACGTATTTCCCTACCAGACTAATTAAGGCCGTGGGAGGAGAGAGCATTGGTGTTACAGATACAGCCTCCCACTGGCTTACATACAAAACTGAAAGTATGACTCTGTCCCCCGCCTTCTGCTTTTCTCAAAGGAAAGGCCATGGTTTTCTAATGAATACATGGTGAGCAGTTCTGTCCATAACACACTGTGATGAGTAAGTTGAATAGTGCATGGTGAGTAATCTCTCCTCATGACTCACAAAATATTTTCTGATGTTGACCTCTGGTTTTCAGGAGTGCCCTGTTTAATCAGAGCTGAAGTACGTTTATTCTTTTGTATGCACAGTTTAACTCCTTGACTCCCAAATACCTGCCTCAATTTTTGCTTGCTCTAAGTTGTCAAAGGCCGGTGATGCTGCAAACTGAGTTCTACTTCTGTGCTTGTTACCAAAATAAACAATTTATTACATGTGAGAAATGAGGCCTCTAGATAAAGGAGGTACGTTATTAGCTCTGCTGGCTCACCCATTTCAAGCAAACGGATCTAGGTGATCATAAATAGGCTAATGCCAACAGAGAGGGTTGTTTGTGGTCATACTTCAGGTATTGATACACAAGAATTGGTATTTATTACCTTGAGGTAGATATGAAGGTTACAAAGGATGAAGTCCCCTTGTAGTTCTAAGACTTGAAGATATTTAGGTTTATCCTGGAGAATTGTCCTTGGATTGGCTGTGTTTTGTGTTTGTGTATGTTTCTGACTTCTGATATGGTTAAATATGAATATTTCTTAGGTTTGTAGGTTTGAACATGGAGTTTTTTCATAACCTTGATAAATTCTGCCTCATCTGCAAAGTATTTGAACACCTCTTTTGACAACGGGGCCTGCTTAAGGAGTCATGGCCTATGATGTGCAAAAGGTTTTTTTTTTTTAAAACCTGGATCAGTTCCTTGATCTGGTTTGGGCACCGATAACTGAGGGATTGTTTGTGAGTGAGTGAACTGAGTGAGTGGAGGCTCAGGTGCTGCCAAAGCTGTGTGTGTGTGTGTTTTTTTTTTTTTTTTTTTGGGTGTCACCAAAACCAGTGTTTGTTCAGCTGCACCTTAGGGTAGTTTACAAGTTTGTATGCAAAAAGTCTTATTTTCTGGGTAGCTCTTATATCAATAAGAGGGCACTTCCCTGGTCCCTTTTTCTTCTGTCTTTTACATATGCACTGAACTGGTTTGCAGGGGGATCAAAGCGAACGTCAGCCCTGACAAAAGGGAGTGGATGGCAAGGCACAGTCAAGTGATGAGAGGAGGGTGGAATTGGTGTTGACTTTGAGTGACTTAGGCTGTTGTGGAACTGCATCCTTCATCTTGATGGCTTTAAATGACTTGCTGCCTGTCATGTTAAATAGTGCTTAAATCCTTGCAAGTTTCAAAATTAGACATCTGCCCGTCTTGCCTTGCTCTTTTCATCTAGTAGGCTTTCTCATTGTTTGCCTACTGAATAGCATTCTCCCAGAAGATAAGTGCTAACCTCCATACACGTCAGGATTTTTTTCTCAGGTATGACTTCTGAGGGCTAGCCGTTTCTGTTGTGATATCTTGTAGCGCAGGCCTCCATTGAGCAAATCATTGTGCATCCCAGGAGGGTTACCTTCTTGGTACCTTTAAAATCGTGTTCCTATTTTCCATATTCCAGCTTGGAAATTTCAAGGCCTTGACTCTGTCCCAGGGGAGGACAGTCTTGGTTGTGCTACTGGGGAAGTCATATTGGGGTGAAGTACCTCTGTGATGAGCCACTGAAGCTTGAGCCTCCAAATCAGCAATGATGATGATAAATCTGGACTGAATGATTCAGTGATTTGTCTGTGTTTTTTCTCTTTGCTGCTGTCTTTCCACTCTGCTCTAATGGCAAGAAATTCCCATTGGCTAATTGAGTGTTGTCATAGCATCACTCTCTGCAGCTGTTTGAGAGGTATACATGTGTCTGTTACTAAGGAGTAATGGAATACAAGCTTGATAATACTTGACTTTATTTGTACAGGTGGAAGAGTGCACAGTATGTGGTTCCTCCCCCCTCTCCCCTGCTGTATCCCGAACCTGGTCTGTGATACAGCTGATGCAATTCTGTCACCCCAGGAACGTGTTATGGACTAAAAGCTCAAGGACAGCCAGTGATAATGAAAATCGCAGCCCAGCAGGGAGTGTCACCCTTTAAAACTAAAGATCAGCTGTAGAGATGAATAACAAACCTTGTTTAAGAATTTAGTGCTTTTTTTTTGTTTTGTTTTGGTGGGACTCAGCCTTGCTGGGAATATAGTTTCTCTGATAACTGGCTTTGACTTGGGAGACACCCGTCTAGGTGTTGGAGCAGATGCTAAAGCTGAGAGTGCAGTTGTTCTGTATGGTAAGATCATTTTAGGCAGGCCTTGTCTTCAGCAGCTTGTTCCTACTCCTGTGCAGTACTCCCCTGTCTTGCATAGCGTGGTTTGGTATTGTACCTAATCTGGTGTAGCTGCAAGGCTGCTGCTAAGGGTGGTGCTGCTACCTCCTTTCCCTCAGCCACTAGTCATTTCCCTTATCCAGATCCAGCCATTACTTATTACATATTACATTACACTTCATTTCACTTGTGCATGTGCACGTGGGTTTTCTGTTGGATCAGCTTGTGCTAGTGGCTGGAGGGAAAAGGCGGGAGTGCCTGGCTGGAGATGAGGGGGCGCATGGTGAGGCTACCCCTTTCATGCAGCGAAACCGCAGGTGGCTGCTGAACGGTAGTGTCAGACCCTCTGCGCTGATGTAAGCCTGCGGGAGGTAGTTTGGTAAACCAGATTGCTGAAAATATCTACACATGCAGGCTGGCATGCTTCTCCCCCCCCCCCCCCCCCCCCCCCCAAAAAAAAAAAAAAATCTGTACTCTGACTCATACTGTCTTACCCCGGGCAGTTGTGGCAGTACAAAGGAGGGGGTGGTGAGCAGAGGAAACTGGTGAGCTGGCTTTGCCAGGCAAAACCCCCTCACACTTTGAGTAATCACCCAGAAATACAAATACGGCAGTGGTGGCAGGGGTTAGGGGATTTTTCTCTGACTTAATGTTGTTGATGAAGCTTGTTGGGAAACGGTTGCAGGGATGATACATTAATTAAAAAGCTTCTCTAGTGAAGAAAAGGTTTTGAAAACTTCAGCAGACTTCCTCTTTCTCAAGTCTTTACTCCCCCCCCCCCCAAATTCTTCAAAAATGTGGAGTGCCAAGAGTGAGTAGTATAAAACCAGGAAATAATTGACTCAATCATTTCAAAAGTACTTAGGTTTCTCTGCTACCCAGCAAATAAACAGAAGCAAATGACAGAATTGGCACAGTCAAATAATTTGTACTTTTCTGCTCCTGTGAATGCCAAGTGGAACTAAGTAGTGTGCTTGTTCTGAGGTTGTTAATCTAGTAGCTCAGAAGGTGAGGAAGACTGTAACCATGCAGTTTTTAGCTGCAGCCTGTGGTTACTATAGAACGGCAGTTTTCTCCTGTACTTTACCCTTTTAAGTCTAACTTGTCATGTGTGACAGCCAGTATTTGTTCAGTTTTCAGACTAGCTTGTGTTAAAAGCCCTGACCCAAAAGATACAATCTATAGTAGTCCAGTAGGCCTAACTCTTTATCCTAATATTTCTATATGAAAAGTAAAAATTGTTCTGTTGTACTGCGTTGTGAGATCCTAGAGCTCTTATTTTTCAGGTAGCTGAGCTAGTTGAGAGGTAACTGTTGAAAGACAGAAGTAGTTGCTAAAGCTCCTGTTTTTCTCTTGGGAAGAATGGTGAGGATTAATGTCCCTGTCCTGGCCTGACTTCTAACTCTGACGATTGGAGTTTAGCTACCTAAAATTCACCCATCAGTTACAACTGGACACAGTATTGGTAGTTTTCAGTGTGCCATTTAAAATTTTATCACCTTTCTCCCCAGACATCCATATGTCTACGTTTGTACTCTTCCTTCTTCCTTTCTTTCTCCCTTTTCATACTGCCTAACTCTTTTTTTTTTCTTGCTACTTTAAGAGTTAATCTTTGACTGACTAATGCTTTTTACTGTAATGAGGAAGATAAGGAGCAGAAGTGGGGTGGATGTGGGTGGTTTTTTCCCCCCACCCCCTCAAACTGTCTTTATCACTGATTATTAGGTTGATAATCATGAAGCACACTTAAAATATTTTTGCTTAAATAGAAGGATCCGCAGAAGGAAAATAAGTTTATGCTAGGAACTTGTGAATGTAATAAATTTATGTTTGTAGTGATCGTTAAAGGCAAGACAAAACCAGCCCTGAAGGAAGAGCAAGAAATAAAACTGGACATATGATACTTGCCACACATTGTGGAGATATCAAATTGAGTAGGTACTATTTTTAGCATATAGGAAGAAGGTGAATGTATTTTACAACAGGAAATGATGGCCTCATAGATATGAGCAGATCTATGAATAACGAAAAGGTTTCTACTCTGCAGTATTTTTTTTTTGTTTCACTTCATGAGTGAATGAGAGTTTCCTCAAAATCAACATGCAAGAAGTATTTTGGTTTTAGATGAAAAAAATCTAGTGAACAAATGAAGACAGCTAAATCATATACTGGGAAGTGTTTTTGGGGATTGTTTTTTAAATTAATATTGTTATTGATATTAGAAAGCCTATAGAAAGTTCTGAGCAAGTTTCTTTGTAAAATTTAATGGCCTGTAACACCTTTTCTAAGACTGATAAGATTTCTGATATTTTCTGTGTAGTGTGAAGTGTGTGCAGTTTCCTGAGTGTACTGGCTTTACTTTGTCATTTACTTAGTAGAGCTTAGCAGTATTATTGGTATTTGATAGTATATGATTTCAAAATTCTAAAAAGTTTGGGCTCTTAAGCTGCTTTCTCATTCCTCTTCAGATACAGCTGGATTTCAGTTGCATTGCAGGTGATCCCTCTGGTGTGCACATCTGTTTGCAGAGTTATTTGATGCGAAGAGCTCAGGTGTTAGTGTGGGGCAGCATCTGACCCTGTAAAGCTGGTGATATGAGTTTGTGTTCTCATTTGACGTCTTCAGTGGCTGCTTGTTTGAAGGGATAGTAATTTTGTTCAGTTTCTTTTTTCTTTTAAATGAAGAATACTTTGTAATATTGGAGAGCCTAAACCATTTACAAGTCCTTAAAATGGAAGCTTTTAAAATGATTAGCACTTAGAATTTCTGTATGTATGCTGCTCAAAATCTGTAGTGGGCGTAG